CTCTGATGCTAGGAAGCCTTAAAACTGCTTCACATGCAATAGCATCATTGCTGCCTAGCTTTGACAGCACACAGGATGTTTTGCTATCTCAGCTGGTTCTGAAGCTCCCAACTGATGCCAAACCTCTGTAGCAGTCATATGGCACATCACAGGCAGGAGCAAATAGACGAAGAGTAGTCAGTAGGAGGTCCTCTGTACAGTATTAGATCTGTTGGCTTCATGCACATGGCAGATTAAGCTAGTTTGGGTTAAAAGGTTTCCACAAGTGATACTTTTGTATAAGCAAAGAGAGCCTGTTGCTCTAGAAAAGAAAACTAAAATACGAAAAGATGCATGGAAGGCATCAAGGCAAAATACTAAAATTACAATCAGAAAGAGTAAAGGAGGCACAACCTTTTATCTGTATTGCATCCATTCTGCAAAACGGGTAAAAAAACACAAACTATATTTGAATGTTTTTTTAAGTATTTAATTTTTGTTTTATGTTTTCCAAAATAAATTGTTTGGTCAGAAATCATTTTAGAAATGCACAGAGAAGCCAGATCATTTTTAACCTGAACCATTGACAACTTAGAAACTGCAAAATTATATTTCTTCTCATTAGTAATTGTTACTTATTTATGATTTATAGGTTAAAATAACAACAATGTTGGAAGAGCTGGTATGTACTCAAATAGTGTTTGAGTACTGTCATTTATAGAAAAGAAGATATCCGAACTGGATAAACCTGCAGACATGTCAGTTTTATGAAAAATCAGAAATATGTCATAAACCTATGACCTGTGCATATCTTGAATCTATTTTATACTAATTCAGAAGAATATCTATTTTTTGTAAACTAAACTTTTAAGTTAAGGTTTGAGCTGTTAGATTATATTGTTGATGACGTTTCCATTAGGTTATGCAATAAACGAAAGACAGAGTTTTCTTCAAGCACATGACAGTATTTAGAAGTAAGTGAATAGAGGTAATCTGGTTAAACAACTTTGTGTCTGTAACTACACGATTACCTTAAAAACTTATTTAGAGATCAAAAAGTAGAATAATACATAAAAAGGCCAATAATTACCTGCAAAAGGACTACAATCGTGATGCACTGTATATATATATATATATATCTATATATATATATATATCTTATAAATAGGTAAGGGCAGTAAAGAGTCCATCTAATTGGTCAAATGTGTTTAATATTACACATAAACAAATTTATATACATAGGCATGCTTCATGTATCTATATGAAATATAATTAAAAGCCGAATTGCTTAATTTGAAAAAAAAAAAAAAAGATAGTGGCCTAGTCAAATATCTTTAATGACAGTTGCTGCTCCTAAGGTGACTCAAGCAATCCTTAGGTTAAAAGGAGCGATGTTCAATACAGCCAGATTTCACTCAGGATATCAAGGATGTTGAAATTTGTCTGAAGATATGAAACATTATATGTGACAAAAAAAGAGCTAAAACAGTACAAATATGTCAGTAAAACGGTTTTCCACAGCACATTCTACTGTTCTTCCAAATCTGCTTTGCATTGAAATATTCTGTAAATGAAAACATGAGGCCAGGTGTTTTTTTGTTTGTTTTTTTTCTACTTGTGCTTTTCCTGGAATGAATCTTACTAAAAAAAATAAATAAAAGAAATTTTGCATCGAATCTTCAATGGCAACATGCAAGCTTTTTTAGCCAGTGGTGGCTTTATGCAGCATTTTAATTTTGGCAACGACCATGGCATCAAATCCTTGTTTAAGAAGACTAAAGCCAGAAGCAAGAAAGGAAGAGCAAACAGACTCAGAGTGAGGGAAACACAAAGGGAGAAGGAGAACAAAAAGTGGGACGGCTTTTAAAGAGTAAAATTAAGTAAAAAGTAAGTCAGATCATACATCTGAATTTTTGGGGTAAGGGGTACATTTAGTGCATCCCAAACCAAATGATACCTTATATATGGCTTTATCCATTATCATATTGATTACAGTCAATGTAGAGATTATAGCTGAAACATAAAGCAAAATGAAATCTGCATAATTGCACTGCTTTTAATAGCTACAACAATGACAGAACTGAACAGACATCCATTAAAAGTACAAACTGAACTTAAATTTTAAAAAGAGGGGCTTTTAAATGATTAAGGGCAACTGCTAATTTAAAAATGAGGATGGAATCTTGTGGGAAATGCAGAAACACTTTTTGTGCCACTATAAATCAGTGCCTAGTGTCTAGACTCAATGTGAATTTCCTCATTAGTAATATAAACATGAACTACAAAGAAGCACCCGAAGCAGCAAATAAATAGGCTGCAGAAGAATAATTTCTTCCTTCCACGCATGCAAACACTTCCTATAAATATACACACACACATACACACTCTTCCCTTTCTTAAATGTGTCACAGGAAATTTTGGAGACTAAATAACCATTACAGGGTGCAGAAACAGTCGGGAATATTAAACACTGTCAACACTGTGCCGAGGAGAGTGTGAGACCTTCTTATCTACATACTGCATTAAGACATGGCTTTCACTTTTCTCCTCCCCGAATAAATTATAATTCCATATAAATATATTGCCTACAGTCTTAAATATCCAGCTGGATGAAAAATATAAAAGAAAATCATAACCTGGTTTAATTTTATATCTTGACCTACAGCATGATTTTTGTTCTCTAATTGGGGTTTTTATAAAAATGTTAATTTCCTTGTGATTTTTTTCCTCCAATCTGCCAGTCTTCCAATTCCCTTCTTGCCTGCTGCACATTTTTAAAACTATGAATTTTTGAACATCAATTTCTTTCTTTTTTTTCTTTTTTTTTTGCCATGCCCCAGGGAGACATTCTCATATCATATCGTCTCTTTTTCTCCTCCCGCCATCCCCCTGAGTCTGAATCTCATAGACAGAATGTAAGGTGACAGTCTGGAGGTATGCATGTGACTGTGGGTATAGTCAGGAACGTGCAGGCTGGGAAAATTTGGAAGGAAGGGGCAAATAGCTGATAAAGAGAGATACTGCAGTGGAATGGTCACTACCATTCCAAGTCCAACCCTGAACTTGGCCAAAGGAGAAATGCTGGAATGTCGCTTTTCATTTTCAAAAGACATTATGTCAGTTTTAACTGAAAAATATCTTTTTATTTTACCTTTTTTGACTAATAAATCGTTTGATGAGCAGACTGACACCTCAGTACAGCAGTTGAGCGCAGATGCATCTGTAAGCCTGTTTTCCTGAATTTACTATAGCTCAGAAGTTCCCGTACTGTCTGCTAATGTGACATCCAAGTTCAACCTCTTTAAAGCATTCCTTACTTCATCATATGTGAACACTATTTTTTGCACCTTCCATTTAATTTAAAGCTTAGTTTCCATAGTGCCACCTCAACCTCGGTTATAGCCGCATCCAGTCCCTTATTGGCTGTAGCGACACATCTTTACACTCAATTTCAGAGTTTTCAACTTCTGCAGAATTTGCTGCAAATCCATCACTGGTGTTGATTTCCTGGAGCTCGCCCTAATCGGACCGCTTGCAAAGCTAAAAGCACGTCTTTTTTCATTGCTGCTGAAAACAACTGTACAGAGGGATAACATGTAAATTGCTCATTCTGATTTCTAAAATCCCATTTAGTATGAATGCAACATAACTCATTAAGCTTTGATTCCATTCAACCACTGACTGTATGACATGGACTACTGTTCAGCTGGAAGGTGAGACTGCACCTTATACTCATTGATTTTCAGCCTTAAACAGGGATTGCCCTGGATTTTAGCTTAATCTCTCTTCCATTAAACATATACAAACATTTTAGGATTTTGGTATTCTGAAGAGACAAGTTCCTAAAAAGTTCAAAATGTAAAAATAGCTTTTTATAGGCCACTGTATATTGATTGATGGATAGATAAAAAAGACAACTACATCCTGCAGTGCCTAAGAAGAGGAAAGGAGCAAAATGCATTTATGGTGAAAGCTAAATTTGATTTTAAAATGCAGTTCCACCCAATTGGTGCTCCTCTACTTTCTCCCCAGCTTTCTAAAATTAAAAATTGATTATTTGTACTTTTCTCATTTCCCTCCATGTCACTCATCTCTCCTGTAAGTATAACCCCACCCTAGCGTTTTACTCCAAGCAGCGAGAGGTTTCCGTCTGAAAGAATGAAACACATTTTCAACTAATCACAGGGCCTGCCTGAGCATAACAGTGGCAATAATTATATACCAAAGCCCACCACACTAAAATGATAACCTTTTCAGACAACACATCTACAGAATATATGCGTTGAATAATAAAAACATTGGGAAGAACTCAAAACGGTTGCAGAATTGAATGATAAAGACAATAGAATATAAACCCTTCTTCATTTTCATTTTCATTGCAAAGTAAGACTCCTAATGTTTCGGATCTTATGCATGAACCTGTTTGAACGAAGAGCACTATCATAAAGATACAGAGATACTAACAGCTGAAAAAACATCTTTTGAGTGCAGTTATACATAAAGAACTATTTTAAACAAATGAACTACTCTGGGTAACTCAACTTGAGGCAGGACTTTTATCCTGATCCTAGAACTGAATCCAAAGGCATTATGATAGGCAAGAACTTGCGATGCTGCACATTAACCATGTATTATAACATAATTATCTGCATTTAAACATCAAATAAAAATAACTTATTTTGCCAAAAGAGATTTGAAAGTAACAATAATATGGCTAAACCAAATTCTTTATTTTTATGCAGTGTCAACAGTATTTAGATCTTTTTGTGTTTAGAATCAGGGTAAATACAGCTGCAGAGGTTATTTGAAAGATAACCTGATGGTCAATGTTTAAATTACCAGTTAAATAAAGAGGGTATGACTACTGTTATTACTATTTGCATTTTCCATTTCTCCTTCTTTGAGACAGAAGCATGTCATTTATTTGTATGAAAAGCAGCTGAAAATTCAAAGACTCCATTATGCATGTGGGAGATGTGTGTTTTGAAGACAGGTGTCACAAAATGGGAGGCGTCTCTTACCTCTAAGGCTTTACTCTTACTGTTTAGCAGCCTGGAGATTTCCCGTGCCACTCTGTCCACCAGATCCTTGGGGTTGTTTCTCTTGATTTCAAACTGGCTCTTCTTCTCATTATAAATCTGCAGACGGAAGGAAAAAGGTGGGATCAGAGGTTATGTGACCGCATCCATTAGCTTAATTAAGGAGATCACAGAGGGGCTGTTTGCTTATTTTCAAGGTAGCACACAAGATGGTAAACATTTACTGTAGAGTCGACAGTCTGCCGGCTGTCATTATACCCACGAGCCTCTGCTCTGTGGAGGAATTAAACACAGAACAGAGCCTTAATGGCAAAGCACTTAGCTAGGCCGCTGCAGTCTGGCAGTCACAATCAAATTAAATAAGCGAACACTCCAGCAGATCCTCACTGCTGGGTGAACACCTTGCGTCTCTACAGTTTTAACTCTTGAAGAGCAAATATACAGGGAAAAACATTTTAAACACATTGGGAAAAACAGGGTGTACTTTTCCTTTATTGCCATTTGTGGCATTATAATAACAGACACCAATGAAGTTGCAAAATGTCTTATAAAGCAGCACAATCACATCTTCACATCTTCACATGTACAGTGAGGAGAAAAAAAAAAAGATACAATCAATCAAAAGAAAAATACCCTTATTGTTAGTAAAAAAAAATAGATAAAAACGTTTACACACCTCAAAACAAAAAAAATATATTGTAAGGTAAAAATTAGAATTATTTAAACTAAAAAAATAAATAAAAAGGAGCGGGTTTACAAAAGATTGATAAAATTGCACAAAGTATGATTGTAAAAGGTAAAAAGTTGTAAAAAAAAAAAGTCATTAGAATTTAAATCTAAACATACCCCAAGTCACTATATAAGCCTAATAGACAATATATTTACTAATAATATTGATGACATATGGCAAGTTATATAGTAATAAATATAATGGGGAATACTTATCTGTATTTATATATGTCAAGGTCAATAATGAGATTAATCAGAACTAGTGTCAAAGACAAAGTGGCACAGTTATTCATAAGAAATTAAGAACAGAGGATACAATTACCGCACTAAAAATATGACCTATTATCACAGGATTGGAAAGTTGTTTATAGAGTGGAATATGTGCACAGGGCATATAATAAATTCTCGGATATATAAATTATTCTTAAATAAAAATTGTCCAGTTAAAATAATGAAGCAAACACAAAAATAGACCATGGTTCTCCAAGGTCTTAAAAATGCATGTAAAAAAACGACATAAACTGTTTCTAATAATGTGTTTCTACTAAGGAAAAATGGGACAAATACAATGAGATATCTAGAATATTTTACTGACAACCATTGGGATAATGATGATATGAACAAAGTAGTTAATAGAATGAATGTTTTTTTTGTGAATGCGAGGCCAGAGTTGGCAAAGATTAGAGACCAAGGAGGAGATGCTATTAGTAATGGAGTGATTGAAAATAATCCTCACACATTTTTTCTTTTTGCGATAGATGAACTGGAAGTTAAATCAGTGATCATGATGAAAATTATTATTTACATTTTTTTACTGATAAAGCTAAATTCATTAAATCACCGCGGATATGTTAGTTTTAGGTATAGATAATGATCCATTGATCATCCTTTGCTGAACGGACTTTTCCTTAAACTGAAATTACCTTGTATTAATATTGTTCTTAAAAATCTAATCCTGATGTTCCTGTTCCCACTAATTCACCAAAAGGCCATATGAAGCAATCTGTGACCCAACTGAAGTTTCCTTCTGTCATCCTCATATAAAATAAGAACCCAAGTCACCATCTCTATACATGTAGTAACATGACTTTACAGCAACTGCTTCCTCTAATCATGCACAGCACATTTGTGAAAGGATTTGAATCTATGATACTCCTCTCAGCTCATTTATTCTTGTTTTTCTTTAATTTGAAGCCCATTTGAAGTTCATTAGTTGGCTGATGCATTTAAACCAGTTAAGAAGGGTGAGTACGCACTTATCTTTGATCTGATAATGTTTCATTCCCTTTCAGCACATTATTATAATTAATAGCAGCATGAAAATTCATGCTGTAAATGAGACAGATTTCAACACCTGAAAATTTTCAAGAAAAAAAAAAACAGAGGAATATAAAAGTTTGAAAGCTCACACCCTTAAGAATGGTTCGGGGAAAGAAAAAAAAACAAAAAACACTGAGCCCAATTTGTCCCCCAATCTGTCTTTTCTGACAATCATAAGGATGTCCTTGCGCTGATCGCAAGTTGGTAATATTCAACATGTTGGATTGCCTGGTACTGTACTGTGTGTGGTGTTCCCAAAGCACAGAAAAACATATATTGATGAATATGAGGTGTAGCCAATCAGAAAGCATTTTCACACAACCCACCAACACAAATCCACCAGTTTACCAAAGAGCCCCGTGCTTTCAATGTCTTCTGTTGTCATTTTTACAATGATTCCACAAAGCATCGGCGTTTTTCCTTGTTGGCCATGTCTATTTACTTTGACCTCACATTTAATCTCATTAAGTTTTTTAAGATTTCCTGTTTAACATCTGCATTTCCTGGAGTGAAATCTGTTCATGTGTAATGTGCTGCGATTGAAATGTGGCAATACATGACACTGTAGGATCTGTGTAATGTATTGCACCTGTAATATTGATGATTTTCTATCATCATTTGTGAGGCGTCTTAGGTTTTAGAGATTACACAAAAACTTGAAAAAACTTTCCATGTGAACCAGGTTTCAGGTTCATCAGATTCGGCTTTAGAGATCCTGCAGGCAAGATTCTGCAGAACATTCAGTAGATAAACATGCTCTGAAATCGATAAAATCTAGGTACTAAGAACATTTAAATGGAGTAGAGTAATTAAGCAGGATAAAATAATTTGTGAATTAATAAATATCAATAGTTATAACAGAAGGTTTAATTTTGATCTGGCGTTGTCACTGAAATAAAAGAAAAAAATATAAGTAAGTCAATATTCTTAAAAGAAGTGCATTTTAATTAATTTAAGTAAATAACTAAGAAATGTAAGAACAATTATATCTAGAATAAAAAATAAACAGAAGCTCCATTATCTTATTTTAATTGCAAATACTGTATCTATTTGTTGTAAGGGCAAAAATACTTATTGCATTAGCAGATCATCTTACAAACCTGTTCAAA